TACAATGACCTTTACCCTTCTAGGTAAATCCTACTCAATCTTCAATTCTCCATTTAATCTTCACTTCTTTACTCTTATAACACCTTGTACTTTAGCTTTGGAAGATAAATCACACTAATTGGTCTTCCCCATAGACTGTAAGTTCCACAAGGTGCAAGTACCTTGTCTATTCTATTCACTTCTGCATCCTCAGCTGCTGGCCCATTGTATGTGTTGAACAAGAGATAATGGAAAAATAAATATCTGGCACTCTGGTGAGTGATGGCCTCTGGGAAGTCATATGTGGAAGTGTCACAACTATAGTTAGAAATAATATGCAATATAATATTCATTTGGATGGTTAACTGTAGAATTTGTTTATATTAGCTAGCAGATCATTTTCCATGTTAAAATTTAAAAAATAAAAATAACATATGAGCACTGTGTTTTGGATCCAATAAGGCAAGTAATGCTATTCAAAAGAAGGCATTCTTCCATAATCTGATGAGAAAAGTTTGCAGCAGATTGGAGATTGTAGCTGCTGGAGATAATAAATCCAGTCTGCAGTAGTGGATCATCTTTATATAAAGTAGAACTTCAAAAAAGAAAAAGATTACAGATAAATCCAGCATGATTTTCCAAGTGCGAGCCACTAACTAAAAGAGTATAAAAACTATCACCAAGAGTATAAAGAACAAATCTAGCAAAAACAATATTTAAGCATTCCATAAACACTGAAGGATTCAAATTTGTCACAAAACACTATTGATATCATGAAATATCATGAATATCTATGACTGGCTATCTAGATTTGGGTGGATCTAGTGAATTAGCATTCAAACCAAGCTCATAAAATATCTCTACAAGTCATGATCTTAATCCACAGGAGCTTTTGACAAAACCCTTAAATAGAAAAAAATATACAAGGGAAAGTTCTAATTAAATGTTGAGGATGACACGAATAGCTCAGTGGAAATACTTAGGTTGGTTTAAAATAGCGTCTTTGGCAAAAGCAGGATTATTTGTACAGTTTCAATTACCTACTCCAGCACAATACCTGGCAAGCCTCTACCACTGGGTTCAGACGCTGTGCTGAGCCGGCCTCTTCAGTTTTAGAAGAATCTGGTCCTGCAGCTCTGCTGCAGTCATGACAGTTCTCGATAATCTGCTTGAGTCGTTGCCTTACTTAGAACAACATTAGAATACGTCTCTAAGGAGAAGTGCATGTAAATACACCCTCATCTCACTAAGGCTCCACAAGTGGGCTTTTAAAAAATAGTTCCTACACAAGCCAATGGATCACATTTGCATTTATTTCTGCTGTGCTTTATTGGAGGTTTGGATTTGAGAATGACAAATGAAAGCTTAGAATCATAGACAATCAGCAGCAGCCTTCTTGGCATGATTCATTTCTATAAGGAGGTGGAAAGGTAAACCAGATGACATTTCTAGGATTTTTCCAGACTTATGCTATAACTATTAGGAGAATGTTTTATGAGTAAAATTGGCGAGCTGCTTTCCTGGGATTTATCATGATGTGTGAGCACAGACTTTTAGGCTACACATCCCATACCGTGCCTAAGACACTTTAGGGCTAAAAAATGTTTATCATCCCCTGCCAGTTAGCTCAGAGGGTCAGAGACCTGCTCTGATGAAGCCAAGTCATAGGCCCCATCCCTGTAGAAGCCAGTTAATGTCAAACAAAGAAAAGATCTGTTCCCCGGCTACAGCTTGCACCTTAGAGCTCAGCCAGCTCTTGGCTGCAGCAAAACTCAGCTAGTTTACCCTGGATCAGAGGAGGAACCAGGAAAAGGAATGTAGGTGGATCCATGAAAAACCATCAGCATTCTTGAGAAGAAAATCGGAATGTATTCATTTCCTACTGACAGTGTCAACAGCACCATCTTCTTAGTCAGAAGATAATATTCAACAACTTGATAGAATTCCTTTTTTTCTCCTTAAATCCGTTCCTACATATCGATTATTCTTGGAATGCCGATGTTGACAATCATCTGAATCTGTACTATATATGGGCCATGGAGTGACGTGAACTTCACAGAGAACATGTATTTCTTGGCCTCAGTCGCTACAATATAATGGATTGCCTGACTCATACTTGAAATGGGTTGCAGCGGGCTTTATATACTTCTCGTCTCCTTTCACTGGCTCTCTTTCCAGTTCATGGCCACCTACGGATGGCTTTTTAACTTTTAGTGAAATATATGCCAGGCTTTCCGTCCTGAATTCAAATGAGAAAAAAACAGAGCAAAATAGATAGTTTCATCCTCAATCCCAGAGAACAGGGAAGAAGCCCTACCTTTTCACTTTTAGATTCCTCTGCCTAAAGTACATCTCCCAGTAATTCACATTTCTCCTTCTCTTATTTTATTCAGGTTTTTATGAAAAATCCCAGCTCTTTCTAGAGCACTTCCCACAGCATCGTCTCTGCCACGATATTCCCATGGCCCCCAATCCTTATCTGTTACCGGGCTTTATTTTCTTTACAGCACTTCTCTCTAGCTGAGATTGGATTTGGTAATTACTTATTGGTTTGTCTTTTTTGTTCTCTACTATATCTATAATGCTAAAACAATGCCTGGAATAGAATCGATGTTCAATATATAATTATTGAAAAATGACCTGGTGAACTTGAACTTTAATTAACACACAGACATTGTAACAGCAATCAAATGACATGCGTATCTAGTGACATTTTTTCACACTGGCTTTGGTTTATTAGGAAACACGGCTTCCTTCCAATTACCCATTGTCTCAGTCTTCTGAGGGAAAAGCCTTACAGAATCTGAGTAATGGTTTCTTTTCTTGCCACAGAGTTACAAGTAATCCCTAGTTCTTTTTTTAATTAACTTTTGTTAATGTTTAAGCCAAGATTTTTTTTTGGTAATGGAGGTAAAATTGACATAACAAAATTAACCATTTTAAAGTGAACAATTCTGTGTCACTTGGTGCACTGACAATGTTGTGAAACCATCACCTCTATCTAGTTTTAATAAATTTTCATCAATAACATTATTTCTTAAAAAACTACTCATCTTGGAATGGTAGAAAACTAGTCCATTGCATTGCAAAATGGTAAATGAAGGATCAAGAATTTATCTCAGCATCCCTATGTAAGCTATTATATGGAGTAATCAAATAATAGATGAGAGAAAGTGGATCTTTTTAAAAATATTCCAAATGATAAATAAAAAAGAAATTATTAATATGGTATTTCACTATTTGGAACCCCCAATAATTAGTGGATCTAACCATTGAGCATGAACAAGTACAAACCTCACAAAAAGAAAGACATCTAGACATTCTGTGTCCTGTAATAAAAAAACAATGTCATCTATAGTTTTGCCAAAGAGAGGAAATAGAGTTTGTCCAAACCTCCACATTCAGCTGCCAATTTTCCAGAAACACAGAGGGCAAAGAAACACGTAGAACTACACCCTAAGTATGCAATCGGCAAAGTCCAGACTGTGAGGAACACTACAGGTCAAATTCCCGAAGTTCTTCAAACAACAAATTGTAAGAAGGACAGGTTGGAAGCGATACCTGTAGATTAAGAGACTTAGAAGATATAACAGTTGTTTTTATTTTTATTTTTTTTTTTTATTGCAGTAACATTGGTTTATAACATTGCAAAAATTTCAGGTGTACATCATTGTATATCAGTTGTTTTTAATGGGCGAGATTAAACATGGTGTCTAAGGCTGCACCTTAAAGGGTAAAAAGATAAAGAAACGCAAGGAAATGATAAATATAGAAGCCATGGTCATGGTCACCTTGGAGAAGAGACAAGGGATTGTGACTGGGATAGGGCATGTGTATGAGCTTAAAGTTTTATTTCTTGACCTCAATAATAGTTACAAGAGTATAATTGAAAAATTCATTGAGTTCCCCCTAAGATCAGGAACAAGTCAAGACTGCTGGTTTTCACTGGTGCTACTCAACATTGTACTGGAAGTTCCAGCCAGAGCAGTTCGGCAAGAAATAGAAATAAAGGCATCCAAATAAGAGAGGAAGAAGTAAATCTTTCTCTATTCACAGATGGCATGATCCTATGTACAGAAAACCCATAGAATACACAAAAAAGCTACTAGAGCTAATAAATGAATTCAGCAAAGTTGCAGGATACAACATCAATACACAAAAATCAGTTGTGTTTATATACACCAGCAATGAACAATCTGAAAAGGAAATTAAGAAAACAAATCCATTTATAACAGCATCCAGAAGAATAAAATACTTAGGAATAAATTTAACCAAGAAAGTGAAAACTTGTAAAGTGAAAACTATAAAACATCGCTGAAAGAAATTAAAGACCTAACAAATGGAAGGACATCCTGTGTTCATGGATTGGAAGACTTAATATTGTTAAGATGTCAATACTACCCAAAGTGCTCCACAGATTCAATGCAAAACTCCAACGGCATTTTTGTAGAAATGGAAAAGCCAATCCTCAAATTCATATGAAATTGCAGGGGCCTCTGAAGAGCCAAAACAATACTGAAAAAGAAGGACAAAGTTGGAAGAGTCACGCTTCCTGAGGTTTTAATTTGGAGTGATGAAAATATTTTGAAACTAGATCGATGGAGGTAGTGGTTACCAACATTGTGAATGTACTAAATACCACTGAATTGTTGACTTTAAAATGGTTCATTTTATGTTACATGAATTTCACTTTAATAAATCATTTTTTAAAAACACACTAAGCTATTAAAAATATAACCTACAATCCGATATACACCTCTCTATAAACTCTGTAGCATAGACTAATGTGTGATTGTAAATGTACTCTTTTCTGGAGAGAAGAAGAGAAATGAGGAGCTACTGATTCTGAAATGTTACTTTGGACAAAGAAAGGTCAAATTCTCTTCCTGGCTCGTAATCATTATGGTAATTATTTCATAAAATGAAAAGTCTCTATTTCCCCCATGTATCAAGTTCATTCTAACACATTTCTTCTGGCTTAGTGACAGCCCGTTTAAACATATGTTTCTTGTATTCTACAGACATACTTGGCAAGTGCAAGACAAAATTGATGCAAACAATGTGGCCTACACAACGGGGAAGCTAAGCTTCCACACTGATTATCCAGCCCTCCATCATCCACCTGGGGTAAGGTGAGCCTCAACATATTTTCCACAAGGCAGGCCAAGGACCAATATCCTCCTCTATTTTGAGTCTAGAAAACTATATGTTTCCTTAGCTAATTTTATGTAGATCTTCTTTCTCCAAACACAATTCAAACACAAAATCTCTGTACCTAAATCCTGAATAGCTTCACATTCTCAAGGAATAGAAGATTTTCATTGTTTTTTTTTTAAACATTTCTTTGTTTCTTTCTAGAAATAACTATTGGCACTTTTTGCTTTGCCAAGACAGATTTTACAATAGCAGTGCATTTTGAGGTCTTTTTGCACATTTCCCATTTCCAAGAGAGTTAAAAGAGAAAATGAAACCAGAGAATATAATGTAGGGTTTTTCCCACAAAGTCACATGGCCATGACTTATGTCAGTTAGCTGTTGCTGCATAAAAACCCGCTCCACAACTTAATGGCTTAAAAGAATAGCCGTGTACTTAGCACATGTTTTCACACTTTGTGCTGTGTTCAGCTGGGAAGTTCCTCTGCTGCTGAGTCGGCTAGGGACTGGTTGACCTAGGTGGACTTCTGCTAAGATGGCTTTTCTCTGCTCCACTTGACCTATCATCCCCCAGCAGGCTAGACCAGGCTTGTGCACATGGCAGCTGGCAGAATTTCCAGAGAACAAGCCAAAACATACAAGGCCTCTTGAGACCTAGGCTAGTGACCCACACAATGTCACTTCTACCATGTTTTATTGGTCAAAGCAAGTCATAAGTTTAGCCCAGATTCAAGAGGTAAGGAAGTAAACTCCACCTTTTATGGGAGAAGATGCCAAGGTGCACTACAAAGGGTGGGAATGCAAGGAGCAGATAACCTTGGCTGTTTTTGGAAACCATCTACTTTCCATCCTAATCAAGGAGGAAGATGCTCAGCATGGAGCCACAAATCCTCCATGAGAATTTCTGCGAGGACTCTCTTCCATCACATTATTACAAAATTGTCATTTTACTAAAATAGCCATATTTTTACAAAAGCATTATTTGCTAAACCAAGAAATAAATGGTCAGGACATTACCTTCAAAAAGATATTCTGTTCCTATTTTTAGAGCTAAACAGGACTAAATGAAAAGTCACACAGAAGTCTGTATCTTCAAAGGTAAACGGGAGTGTAAATTTTGAGCAACTCTCTAGTTAATGAAGGTGAAATAGTCCAAAATCAAAATTAGTCTGTTTTTTTCATCATGTTGACGTCTTCTCCGCGCCCTCCTTGTTACCCATTGTCCTTGCCAGTGGTAACTAAGCTAGTCTAACATTTGACTTCACATGGTTTAAATTATTTTGTTGATTGTAAAATACCACATGATTTCTTTGAACTAAATGATGACAGTGAAGTGACCCCTATAGTCACCTTTTTGGGTGGGGATTGGGACGAAGAGAAACGATGTGATTTGCTCTAAATGTGGTCCAGAAATTTTCTAAAACCCTGGGGGTTAAAAGCCAAATTAATCAGCTCAGTTCATCTGCCAAAGATGGGTTGGAGAAGTTAGATGAAATAAAGCTTAAAAAATTAGACTAGAAAACTAAAGATTCTATTTGAATTTTAAAATTATCTGCTGTTTGTTATGAGTTTAGGTTTGGGTTCTGGGTTAAAATTGAAAACCTATGGAAAAGTGATTAAATGACATCATAAATATTCCTGAAGTGTAGTATAAAGCTTGACATTTTCATAGCATTTTACATTCTTTCAAAGCATTTTTACTTATATTACTTTATTTGATCTCTCTTAACATTCCTTTAAGGTAGACAGGAGTGATCGTGTCTTTTTATGTTAGATGAGGAAACAGCACACAGCAAGGTTAAATACTTTCACAGGATGATATTTGATTAACGGGGAACTTGAACTTGAAACCAGGCCTCCAGGTAGTTTTTTCACCACACCATACCCTGGTCTTGAGTTGGACTTTCTAATTACTGTAATTTATATAATGTAATGATTATTTATTGACATTGTCATACATTACCAACTCTTTAAACACAGGTACTGAATCTTATATTTCTCTGTATTTCAAGACTTAACCCAGCACCTTGCATGTAATAGAGACTTAACAGATATGCTATAAAGAGGCAAAGGCCAACAGGTACATGAAAAAATGCTCTGCATCGCTAATCATCAGGGAAATGCAAGTCAAAATCACAGTGAGATATCACCTCACACCTGTTAGAATGGCTATTACCAGAAAGACTAGAAATAACAAGCGTTGACGAGGATGTGGAGAAAAGGGAACACTTACTCACTGCTGGTGGGAATGTAAATTGGTGTAGTCACTATGGAAAACAGTATGAAGGTTCCTCAAAAAATCAAAAACAGAATTACCATTTGATCCAGCAATTCCACTTCTGGGTATTTATTCAAAGAAAACAAAAACACTAACTCGAAAAGATACGCGCACCTCTATGTTCATTGCAGCATTATTTACAATAGCCGAGATATGGAAACAATCTAAGTGTCCACTGATGGATGAATGGATAAAGAAAAAGTGTTATGTATACACAATGGTATGAATTCACACAAATGGTATGAATATACAATTATTCAGCCATAAACTAAGAATGAAATTTTGCCATTTGCAACAATATGGATGGACCTCAAGAGCATTACACTAAATGAAATAAGTCAGACAGAGAAAGACACATACCTCACAATCTCTCTTATATGTGGAATTTAGAAAATAAATAAATAAATAAACCAAGCTCATAGATACAGAGAACAGATTAGTAGTTACCAGAAGGAGGGAGTAAGAGTGTGGGAGAAATGGGTGAACTGTTTTTGTGTTGTTTTTGCTTTTAGTTTAAATAAATTGAATTAAAAAAAGAAAATAATCATGACTTAATGAAGACAAGTTATATAACCACTAAAACACTTCCAAATTGTCAGTTCCTGTATGCATTGTTAAACTACACATGCGGTTATGTATATGTGTAAATTTATGCACACTAATTAAATTACTTCTGTGACAATTTATTTAAAATCCAGATACTATCCCACGTATAGATAACATAACTGAAAATGCTCTTTAGATTAATAAAAGTCTGTAAAGAGTCAGAAAAAAAGAGGCAAGGAAATTCCACAAAGTTGTACCTATCTCCATCCAATCCGCAAATGAAATATGCGAGGGTACATGACCTGGAAGGAGATTTTTAAATAAAGGATGATTCTTGAAATGTCTAGGTTCTGGTAGAAGAATAATGAAAATGTAGGCACCTGTTTGTGCTATTGTTCAAGTTTCTATTCTGAATTATTCAGGGGTTTTTGAACCAAAGTTTGAACTTTTTTATAACAAAGAGAATAAGTCAGTGTTCTTTGCAGCACAGATGGAATGATCTGGATAATGAGTTACCTGGTGGGAGTTCGGTGTGATCCAGTGGGATCCTGTGGGGCAGAGTTAAGGAGACACATTCATCTTTAATGAAACACAGACGCTGCTTTACTTGCTGTCTTTGTCTGGGCCAGATGTCACGTGCTGCCATAAAGGAACACTCAGAAAGAACATATTTTTGGTTCCGAATGACTTAACATGAAATAAAATTGGGTTTTATACACATCGGGCAAGTATTTACTTTTTGAGTTAGCGGTGAAAGCGTCGTCTGGCTCCATCATCTCTTTTTCTTTCATAAGATTACACTAAAATGTAAATTAATAAAAGGAGATTATTACTTGGCCTTGCCATATGCAAAAGACATCAGTTATCTCTTTTAAAGATTTATATTTGAAATATTCTGTGACTTCATCGTGGTAAAATCTAAAAGGGTTTAAAGAACACTTCAATTCTCCCACAGACAAAGTTATGCTATTGTTTTGCCTTCTTGGAGTTTGGTAAATTGGAGATTGACGTCTTTATCACAGCTTCTTTCTAATCATGCTTCTTCACCCTTCATTGCCCTGGCGATGAGATGATTTTCTACAATGACTTGGTCAGCTTATGCAAATATTTTTTCGAGCTTAAAAAAAACTGGCATCAATTTAATTATCGAGTCATTATTAATTTAGACCAGTTGTCTCCTAACATCAGAAAACAAGGCATCATCAACCTGAAATGGAAGTGTAAGATTACAAAGCACATACACACACACCACACAACACTGAATTAGTAAGAGCACTGTAAAGGGATTTCTCCCTTTAGAGGAAAGGAACTTGCTTATGAAGATTTCGAGGCAAACAGGTCAAGGTTTGAATATCAGTTTTACCATGTTTTAGATGAGTTCTTACTAGCCGGCCAATTTTTTCACCTCTGGGTCTCAGTTTCTTCATCTATAAAATAGAGATGAAAACATCATTTTCTAAGGACTGCAGTAAGAAATCAATACATGTACATGACACAATCATAATTTGAGAGCAAGTATGTATAAGATTTAAAATATTGAGAAAATTTGTGCGGTTTTGGGAGGGAGGCAGGATTTGTGTTCTAGACCTGCACTACCCAACATAGTAGTCACTAGCCACAAATGATTATTTAACTTTTAATTTAAATTAATTAAGATTATGTAAAATTTAATATTCAGTTCCTCAGTCACACTAGCCACATTTGGAGTGCACAGTAGCCATGGGGGACTAGTGGCTACTGTACTGGGCAGCATAGGAGAACATTTCCGTCATCGCAGAAAGTTCTAACAGACAGCACTGTTCTACGCCATCTACGGAGATAACTAAGCTAAACGGATAGTTTTCCCACTCATTGATATCCCCCTAGGCTCGGTATTTGATATTTGCCTCTTTCTTTCTATAAGAATTGTCAGACATTGGTTTTTATTTTTATTTAACTCTGTAAGAATGAAGTTTTGACAGCAAAAAATCAGGGTCTAAATTTAGGTATTCAAAATCACCCACCCATGCTGACTTACCAAAAGGAGTCACATAACCAAGGAGAACAAACAAACTCCATTCAAAAGAATGTTTTTTAAATTTTACCATGTTTTGCTTTTCAAAATGAAATAATGTTATTTCATTTTTCTCTAAATCTTAGTAAAAATAACTAATACTTACTATCCTTTTGGTTTCTCATTCCCAGTGTCTCTTGGGTTATCCACTCTCATGGCCCTGCCCAACATCATTCCCTTCTTATCCTCACACATGACCCATCCTTTTAGACTCCCAAGAAGTTACTTTCACTAGTTCCCTCCTTTAAAAAAAGTTATCCTCTATACCACCACTGGACTAATATTATTCAACTCAGTCTTGACTACATTACTTCCATATTCAAAAGCCTTTAACGATTCCCCTCTGTGCACAAAAGGAAGGCCAATAGCCTTCATCTGACATTCAAGACTCTCCCTGACGAGGTCCCAAATTCCCTCTCCAGTTGGATCTGCTATTCTCATGTTGTGATCTTCTACTGCAGCCAGACTGTGTGACACCCAGTGAAGTGTGCATTTTGCACACTTTCTCACTGCCACCTGATTTGCTCTCTCCATTCTCTTCTACATATCCACAATCTTATCCGTCCTCCTTTGCCCAGATGAAGTCCCACCTCCTCCGTCAAGCCGACAGGAAGTTGTCACTCTCTGCAGCCCTGTGATCTGGGCCTTTGGTTCACTAATGTGCATCCTCATGCCTGTGCCCTGTCTTCAACAGTGACAACGTTTGAACAGTGAAGTATTGATTACAAGCAACCTTTTCTCCCCAACCCCTTTCTCTGCTGACACGAAAAAGACAGATAAAAAAAGGTTTCTTGATCTTAGTTCATTTATCTTTCTTAATCTCTCTTGCTCACAGTGTCAAAAAACGTAAGGGCATATCATTTTAAAAGATATTTCTCTACTTCTTTTTGTAGGTTCAGTTTCTGCATTGCATAAAACAAACAGTCACTGGGGGTGAATCAGAGATTGTAGATGGATTTAACGTGTGCCGAAAGCTCAAGGAACAGAATCCTCAGGCATTCCAGATTTTGTCCTCCACCTTTGTGGACTTTACAGACATTGGAGTGGATTACTGCGATTTCTCTGTACAATCCAAACACAAAATTATAGAGTAAGTACTATTTATAAATTTCTCATAGCAATAAACAGTTGACAGCAAAAGTTTCATTAACCTAAAGCTTAAACAGCAGAAAGCTTTAACTCCGGAGCTTTACTTTGAACTAACTGTTTAATCCAATTTCAGAGTGAAAGAGAAAAAAGAGCCCTTTCACCATAAAAAAATTCTTTATCAAATTCCATTAAATCTCTGTTCTTAATATAAGAGAAGTAACTAAGACTTCATGTACCCTTCATCTTTAAAATATAAGTTCTTGGGGCCGGCCCGGTGGCATAGTGGTTAAGTTCATGGGCTCTGCTTCAGCGGCCTGGAGTTTGCAGGTTCGGATCCTGGGTGCGGACATACACACCGCTAGTCAAGCCATGCTGTGATGGCGTCCCATATACAAAATAGAGCAAGATGGTACAGATGTTAGCTCAGGGCCAATCTTCCTCACCAGCAAAAAATACATATATAAGTTCTACATAGTTATAATCAGTGTGATTGTACCAGTCAGAATTCTTTCAGCCAGAAGTGAAAGAATCTAACTCAAATTAGGTAGATCCAAGAGTTAAACAATGTCGTCTGAAATTGATCTCTTTTTTCTTCATCTCTTAGCTTTGCTGTCCTCTCTGTTGGCTTCATTTTCAAAGATGATCAATAGAAGCTCCAAGTTTTTATTGTCCATAGAGCTGATAATCACAGCACACAAAAAGCATATATTTCCCAATGGCTACAACAAAGCTAAATGGCTCACTGCCCAATATGTGTCCAAGTCTATCCTTGGAGCAATCCCCATGGCCAGGAAGTCAGAGAATTCTGATTGGCCATTCCTGGGTCACATGTTCATCTCTGGAGCAAGGTCAGCCTCATCTGAACCAATGTTCTGAGAATGAAACAGGGATGTCTCCCCAAAATGATGCCAACAAAAATTGTATGTTCCCTACATAGAACATTTTGTGTTCTATCATTTAACATTATTTATCATAATTTTCCCAAGTACCTGCAAAGGCCACAAAGGATGTGGTTTATTTAATCAGACGTCAGTTAATGAACTTTTGAGTGCTTTCAGTTTTTTAGTTGAATTTGTATTCTCCTTTTAGAAGAATTACCCAAATAACATGAAAATAAATTCATTTACTAAATAAGCAAATCCCCAGTATCCTAACTCAGCTTTCTTATATACACATGTGGTTTTCATTCATTCACTCAACAAATATGTATTGAGGCAAGCCACTCTGCTTGGTGGTTGGGATATCAGCGGACAAAACAAAGACCTCTGCCCTCATGCAGCCTTCACTGTAACCAGGAAGGGGAGAATTAGAAATTTTAAAACAAATGAGTCAGTTACAGTGACTGCTAAAACATTTTTTAAGTGCTTAAGAGAAAAGGAAAAGCAAGTCAAGATGAAGGGACTCTGTGGATCAGAAGCCTTAGCGAAGACGAGACTGGTATTATTATATAGTGTGGGGAGGAAAAGCCTTATTGAGTAGGTGATGTTTTAGCAAAAACCTGAAGGACTGAAGGAGTTAGCCCAGAAGAGAAGCAGTTTCCAGACACAGCCAGAGCAAAGGTCCTGAGAAGACCCTGAGAACATGTCTGGTGTGTTCAAGGGGAAGCAAGGAGGCTAGTGTGGAGCAGGGTATTAAGAGAGGAGGTCAAACAGGGGACGTTCATGAGGAGGCTTGTTAGCCATCTAAGAACACTGGTCTTCACTTGCAGTGACACAGGGAGCTGCTGCAAGATTTTGACCAAAGGAGAGACATTTATATTTATATAGATTTATTTACATTTTAAATGGATCACCCTGGCTGCTGTGCTGAATAGAGCGTAGAAGAGCAAGTAGGAAGGTACTGCAGGACTGCAGGCTGGGGCCAGGTGCCTTGAACATGAGTGGCCAAGAGGTGGCAGTGGCAGTGTGGAGAAGGGTCTGTTTTTAGACATGATTGCAGGTAGAAACAGCATCCTTTCCTCATAGATTGTATGAGGGGTGTGAGAAAGACAGACATCAAAAATAAAAACTAGTTCAGAATAAACCGGAGACGTTCTCCGAGAGGTCAGTCATCGAGATGGGAAATAGAAGAAATGACTCCTGAGATTCCAAGTTTTAACATGACAATTTTAACTATTTAAAAGTTACCTTAAAACCCCAATTGCAATTTTGTTGTGGTGCGATATGATTGTAAATTCTGCAAAGCTAGTGAACAGAGGCCAAAACACCTTAGCTATTGAGAGAGACTAACAGAAAGTCCATCATCTGAATCATGATTTGGCTTTATTATTTTTTTGTAGTAAAATTCCAGAATTTGGCCATTTTCAAGGTCTCGAGGATATCCCTAGAGAATATCAAGCAGCTAACGTTAATCCACTTAAAAATTTACTTTTAACAACAGGAGATGAAACAAAGAAGGTTTTCAGTTAATTGAGGACCTCAGTCTCCTGAGTGTTTGAGTTAATTTAATTTTCCTCTTGGTTCAATTTTTTAACTCTTTTGAGATTAAATGTCTTTGTGTCCTATCTAGTGTAAAAAGATCTTGGAGGCTGATGGCAGAGTTAGGTATAATGCAGTACAATAAAAAATGAGCAAAGAAAGAAACTAGGACAAAAATAACAAGGGTGAGATTAAGCCATAGCAGTGCATCCTAGTGGTTACAAGTTCAATCACATGAAGACAGCTCCTTCGCTCGTTAGCAGGGCCATCTTGGTCAAGTGACTTAACACTTGCTAAGCCGTGGTAAAAAGGGAGCCAGTAAAAAGGGAGTAATAATAATGCCTACTACATACAGTTGAAGTGGGAACTGTAGAGAGGACATATGGATGCTCCTACCACAGTGCCTGGCTCAGAAAGAGCAGAATATATTTTAGCTAGCTATAATTTCCGTCAAGTCCAACACATTTACTGGTGATAGATTTCAATTTCAGCACTGAGGGTTTCTAGAGACCAAAGCAAGGAGGGAACATAATCAATTTGCAAGATTCAAGATGCTTCCAAAGTCTGCAATAAATTTTTCCTGTAGATCTTCATAAAATAAGATGTGGCAGGCAACACCACAGTGACATCCTCCCAACAAATTCAAAAAGTCTCATCACACTTCACATTTTTCAATGAGACATACTACTGAAACTAAGGAGGAGTATTCACGGCATCAACCCTGATTATAGGAGGCAGTTCCACAGTCCATTCCTTGGGTTCTTTTGTTCGCATCACTGATGATGTTTTGCTTTGGCTGATTTGCCAAAGATTTAAAGAATGAAGAATGAATTCATTTCCCTAAGCATAAGCATAAAAAAAAAACTGGAATCTCTCAGTAATATTTATCTTAAATTAAATTGAATCATTCTGGCACTTATGTAGTAAGATTTCAAAAAATATTTGCTAAATGAATGAATGAAAAACAAATGAATACCTTGTACCACAAATAACTTTAATATCTTCTGTATACGTGTTTGAATTCTTTAATACTGTATTTCGTGAACGTCTTCCAAGGTGAATTGACCCTTAGAAATGTAAATAGATATTTCATGACACATATTTTAACTTTTTCTCTTTAAAAAAAATAGATTGGATGATAAAGGCCAAGTGGTTCGCATCAACTTCAATAATGCAACTAGAGACACGCTGTTTGATGTACCTGTTGGAAGAGTGCAGCCCTTCTACGCTGCTCTGAGGGAGTTTGTTGACCTCATGAACTGTAAAGAATTCAAGTTTACTTTCAAGATGAATCCAGGTCAGTGAACACATTTTCTCAAACAACTAAAAGGGTGGGTTTTCCTCAACCTTAGCCACTTAGAGCAATATCGAGAGCAGTTTTTCTCAAGTACGGCATGTAGAGCCCTTACAACAGAATCTTGGGAAGCAGCCAATTTGCTTAAATAGCAGACTCCTGGCCCCCACCTCTCTTGACTCTCCAGACTTAAAAATATTCATTTTTAACAAGCTCCTAGGTAATCCTTCAGTACACCAAAATTTAATAACTTCCCATCTAGAGAATAAATACATGAAAGACAAGCTATAGGCCAAGTGAAATCTCACGTCTGATACCAAGACTGGTGACTTATATTTTCTGTCCTGATAGCCAATCTGTGTAAACTGAAGCTGGTACTTAATTCTTCTCTCCTAGTACCAAATAAAATCATCCCCACGATTCTCACTCTAAAACACAGGAGTAATGTTTACTCATTTAGTTTATCTGATCTGGCAGGCACAGTGCTACCTGAAATCAACCAGTACTTGAAGTATTCTAGCTACTTGGAATAAAGGGGCAGAAAGCACTGTGTTTTTTCTGGAGTATATCTACTTGGTAAAATGACATCAAACTCAAAATTTTTGATATATATAGTAAAAAGCAGAATTTCTCTTTGCTGCCGCTTTGACCAAGTGGAAGATTCTTTTCACTCGTGATTATTTTTTGAATTGATCTTTGACATAATAAAATCAGATAAAATCTAGAAATCAGATAAATCACTGCTATGCAGTCACAGAAGGTTGATTTTAAGAGCAGCAACATGTAAAACGGAAATACTATGAAAAAAAAGTACCAAACAAATAGGAGTTGGAGTCCAAGCTCCACCATTTCATGGCTGTGTAGCTTTAGGCACATCCCTTAACTTCTCAAAGACTCAGTTTTCTCGTGTACGAAAAGATGATATAATACTCTCTTTTCAGGATTTTTTTAAGTCTGAGAAATAATGTGCATAAAACACTAGACACATAGAAGAATGTCACTATCCTTATAGTTATTTGAAGTTGTTTAACGGGAAACAGACATTTCTAATTAAGAGATAAGTAACATCAGGAAGAACAATTCGAAAGTCTTACGCAGAGATAATTTTTGTGTGTGTGTGTGAGGAAGATCAGCCCTGTGCTGACGTCTGCCAATCCTCCTCGTTTTTTGCTGAGGAAGACCGGTCCTGGGCTAACATCTGTGCCCATCTTCCTCCACTTTATATGGGATGCCGCCACAGCATGGCTTGCCAAGTGGTGCATCAGTGGGCGCCCGGGAACCCAACCGGCGAACCGAGGGCGGCCGCAGCTGAGCGCGGCTTGTGCCACCAGGCTGGCCCCCAGAGATAAGTTTTTAAGCAAGAATTACAAAAGTGTCTATAGGAGCCTGTCAGGCTATGAGGTTTGAATGTCAATCGGTCTAAAGCAGTTTGTGTGAAAGAGTAAAGGTGCAGCTTTATGTCAAGAAACAGACGTACTGTTTTCTTGACGTGAACCACGTAGCAACAACTTTTTGCATTTTACACTTTCAAGCTCTGCAAATCATTTAAACACATGGTTATTCATACTGAAAAAGTCTTTTGTCTAGGTGATGTGATCACTTTTGATAACTGGCGCTTACTCCACGGCCGTCGGAGCTACGAAGCAGGAACTGAGATATCCCGCCATCTAGAAGGAGCTTATGCTGACTGGGATGTGGTTATGTCAAGGCTTCGTATCCTAAGGCAGAGTGTCCAGAACTGAAACTGAATCTCCTGTCCATAATTTCAGTGAGATTCCAGCGAGTGTATCTTGTAAGATAATTGCAAGGTTATTGTCTTCACAGACCATGATCCATGTCATTTACATATTAATTTCTTTAACATTGAACATGTCACCTTTCTCGCAAGAGTTTTCCTTTCTTTGTAATCACAAACAATGCCAACTTTTCAGATGTTGTAGCACTGTTCTATCCTTTCAACATAAAGCATCCTTTCTGTTCTATTGCACATATATGAGTCTCCAGAATGCCTACAAATAGTTTTGTATCAATAAAACCTTTCTTCAAATAGCCTTTTTTTAAATAAAGCTTTTGTTTCAAATAAAGCTTATGTTTCAAATAAAACTTGTCTCAAATAAAACATGTTTCTGCTCTGTTGCCTGTACAGTCTCACTTTTCATGACTGTATATGACTGTCTTTATCATGCTTGGGAAAAGCATTCATATTTTCAAAGATCTGTTTTATTCACTTTTATTGTAGCAACCCAAATTTCCAGACCTCAACAACCTGGTGATCTCAACATTCCCTTTAATGCATAAATTATGACAAGAAACTCAAGCAAGCCAAATTAAGAGAAAAATCTTAATTTTTCTCCTTAAGTTTGTCTTGCCCCAATTAAATACTCCCGAGGACAGCCAGCATACCTTACACCTGTCTATGAATCAGTTCTCATCAATCCTCGCCTTCAGTTAACAACTGGGAAAGGCAGAATGAAGATGCATGCACCACTCATAAACAGACACGATGTCTGCTAACCTCTGGACAGCTTCATCTGCTGGTCTTGGCTTCCTCTATGGCCACTGCCTTATCCCCAGTGGTGGAACACAGGTGTCACTGCTAGCCATGGAAGTCCCGCTCTTGCTGAGCCCCATCCTTCCCTACCCTTGGCAAAAAGGAGAGTCGCAGCATTATCATGTGCCAAAATCCTGGTAGGACCTAGATTTTCAGTCTGTATGCTTTGGGAGCTAAGCATGCCTCCTATGTTGAAGGTCTTAATCACTGCCACCACTGCAGAACTCTACCTGTTGCCTTAAGACCAAGTGAAAACACTGCTTCCACCCACGGAAGTGAAACCGCAGTGTGCCTGTGACATTGGGAATCTGGATCAAGAGTGCCCTAGCCCGTGTCAGCATACCCTTCTCATGCTCTGAACTCTGGTATTGGGTCTACACTACCAGCCAGACTCCACTGCCCCTTATACCACTACCACTTTCTGGGGACTTCCTCGTGCTTTCCTGTCATCCGGTCTTGATCAGGGCTACTGTGGTATATCACTCGTTTGATTCCTTTGAACTTAGGAGGAACAGGTTGGGTTCTCAACCTCATCGCTCCTAAGACAGTCCTAGAATGAAAACAAGTGAGTTCAATAGGGGCATGGTCTGGTTCGAAGAGGCAGCATTCAATACTTAAATAAATTGGTGGAGTGACCCTAGCTCCATCCATTCACAGCATCTAAACCCTAGGCACTTGCCAAGCTACAACGACTTCTTAAGCTTTCATTCATTCGGCAGATATTTATCACATAGGGGATATACGTCAGGCACTCTGCTAGACTAAGGACACAGAAGGGCTTGAGATGTGCCAGCTTACAGTCTGGTAGGGGAACAGATAAGAATATAGATAAAGATGTGTTTTGTTAACAGAATGGTTCAAAGGAAGGTGACCAAGCTAGACTGGGGAGGGTAATGAACACTCAGTCTGAGTTGAATGAGGAGTAATCATAGTTTTCCTGGCAAAGATGGGAAAATGATTTTCCAAGTCAAAGAGCAAAAGAAGAGAAATGAGAGTAAACACAGCACATGTGTTGACTTACAAGTAAGAGAGAGTAGAGCAGAGCAGTGCTGGAAATTCTGGCATTGGATGCCGAGGTTCAAATCATAATGACAGTCAGTTAACTGTGTGTCTTTGGACAAATAACTTCTTCCCTTAAGCCTCAGTTTTTCAATCTATAAATGAGACTAGTAACAGTTCTTATCTGATTAAATTTTTATGAGGATTAAATGCAAGTTCACGTAAAGCAGTGTTTTCCCAAACTTCTCAGATGACAAGAGTCACTATGGTGTTTCTGTGGGTGTTTTTTTTCTAATACAATTTCCCAGACATTCCCTGAAGATCATGATTCAACAGGTCTGGGATAAGAACCAGGAACCGTATTTTTAGCAAGGATCCCAGGTGATATGCATCATCAGAGCAGTCTGGAAAATATTGATGTAAAGCATTTAGCATAGTTCCTAGCTGAGGGTAAGTACTCAATAGATGTTAAGTCTTATTAGTTATAATAACAGAAGTTGCAGAGGGAGAGGGTGGATCAGGGTGAGAAGAGATATATGAGGCTGGAGATAGAGAAGGGGGCCAAGTCATGAAATGTTGAAATGTATGTTGCACTAAAGAGTTGATATTTTATCTTGAGAGCAATGAGGAGCATCTAAAGGTTTTTAAACCATAAAGTGCCTTGATCAGATATTCATTTTTTAAAGATCCGTCTGGCTACATTGTGGAGGGAATTGTAAATGAACAAGACTAGAGGCCATAAATCCACTTATGAGGTTGTAAATGTACTTACTGCAGGAAGCCAGATGGGAAATTAAGAAGGATTGGATTAGAATGCTGGGAGAGCAAGAGGAAATGGAGAGATACTTAAAAGGCTAAATCTAGAGGGCTTGATGCACGTAAAGACTGAGGGAGATGTCTAGGCTGTCTCCTGGGTTTCTAGTTAGAAGAAATGGATTAATGGTCATTCCATGCACGAGGAGAGAAGCCACAATAGCAGAAGCAAGCTTGTGAGCAAGAAAATGAATTCATTTTTGAGCAGACTGAACTTGAATTGCCCCTGAGCTAGTCCATTTGGCAGTTGGATATATGAACACATACAGCTCAGGACAGAGACCTGGATTGGAGATCTCCATTTGGAAAGTATATAGATAGCGGATGAAATCACCACGTGTTTTTCTGGAGACATTTAGTGATTGTGACCAAGGTCAAAAGCCTCGTGGTATAATGATAACCTAATGATATTGGCCTAGTTTGTGGAATCAGTTACACTCTGAACATAAAGAATCAGCAGTGGCTTATATTCAAAATCAGCTAGACCTCTTAAATATTGTATTTTGTCCCTAGAGGACAGCATTGCAAGCCAGCACCCCATGTCCTGGCTGTTTCCTTCTCGGTTAAAAAATTATGTCTGCCCTGGAGAGGAGGGACAGCAGGATTGGATGCAGTTGCAACAATTTCTGAGGTGTTATATAGGACATGACATATTGTGGGCCACAGCAGCGGGTGCCGACTGAAGATGATTAGGTTTCCTGGATGTAAGAGTCTCAAGATTTGACTTTCCCCCAAACTCATAATAGATCTGATGTAACTTGGATTGGAATTTACCCCTATTTGGCAGTGTGGACTCTTACTGTCTGTTCCACTTCTCTGATTTGACTTGGAGAATATTAGCTGCTTGGCTGGTTAAGCAGAATAACTCCACAGGTCACCAGAATGACATGTGTGTCACAAGGTGTCTTCCTTGGTCTCTATTTCTCCCCCTTGCCGACCAATAAAAGGTGAGCAAATGAGTATCGGTAGAGGGAATTGATGCAAAAGAAAGATTTCTATGGAGAAACCAAGTGACACTGAAGGTAATTTCTCTGTTCAGGAATTTAAGAATCAGGAGACATTTTATAAACAAAAATACTCCTTTATGTTAAATATCATCTTGAGGATAGATTTCAACTGAAAGTTCTTGTAATGAAAATGTGATTTGGTTGGACTCATGGCTAGCAGCTCACCTCTGGGTCTCTGCACATATTTTTCCAGCTGTCTTGAATACACTTCTCTACCACCTTTATGCCTGGAAAACTCCTTCTCCTCATCCTCCTCCTTCAAAATTCAGCGTAAGCCTCACCTATACTGTGAAACCTTCCTGATTCTCCCAGTCAGGCTGAAGCAGCCTTTCCTCTGGCTCCCACTGAGCCTTACCTACAAGTTTGTGTTCATCCATTCATTCTAGCAATATTCATGAGCACCTACTATGTGCCAGACGCTAGTCAGTGCTCTAGTAATATAGTAGTGAGCAAGACAGACAAGGGCCCTCACAGAGCTAGTGGGAATATCAGACATTGATCAAATAATCACAGAAATAAATAATTCTGAAGAGGAGTAAATGCAATAGAGAGAAAGTCCAGGAGGCTGCAAGAGCATAAAAGAAGAGGACAGGACTAATCTGTGGGGAGTGGGGCTCAAGGAAGGCTTCCCTGAGAAACTGACTTTTGAACTGTTTGATGAAGAATGATATACAGTGATGATACTTTTGGCCTTAATTAACAGAAACTCTGAATCTAACAATAAGAAAATTTTTTATCTAACAAAACATGAGGTCCAGGAATAAGGCAGGATCCCCACATCATGTATCCCCAGTCTTGCCTCTCTGTAGCTCTCTTGGTTCTGTCTTCCTTCACGTGTGTGTATCACCCTCAAGCTGGTGAAATGGCTGCAGAAGTTCCAGTATCACATCCAGACATGGCTACATAGGGAGGAAGAAAGAGATTGACTTTTCCTATGTCTCTTTTTGGAAACAGAGAAACCTTTCCTAGAATTCCTTCTACAGGCTTCCTCTCATGCCTCTTCATCCAGAATTATGTCAAATACAGTCTCCTAAACTAATAACTGGCAAAAGGAAATGAGATTTCCATCATTAACTTAAATGAGTCAGGATCTGCCCTCAGGTTGGGGAGGTGGTCTCTACTCCTGGTACACATGGCTGTGTGAAGAAGTGGATAACTAAAACATTAGGAGGAAGATGAATATTAGATGATATGTAGGCAGCCACTCGTGTCTGCTCTAGATAGGAGAGACCAGTCTAGGTGAAGGGGGGACACAAGCAGGGAGAGTGTGCCAGGCAGAACAAACAGAGAAAGGGCTCTGATGTGGAGGCGAGAGGGTGCCCTCGAAGAAATCAATGGAGGCCATGAGTCTAGAAGCAGGGTAGTCAACCAACAGTGTCTGAGAGATTGTGAACTCTTTAGGAAGAGATATTTTCATTTGTGTCTCCCCAGTGTCTAAATGTCTGTGGAATAAATGAGTGGATCTGGTGGCTGTTTCTTTGAGTACTCTCCATTTTATATCCTGGATGAAACCAGGTCACATCCCTAGGGTCTCGGTCATCTAGAAAAGTCCTAATTTCTGTGCCAGGCAGGACCTCATTTCTTTTCCCTCTTCCACTTGTATAACACATTTTATCTATGCATATACCCAATTTTTGCCTCAAAAGCTTCCCCATTGTCTACCAAGACCAGTCCATTCATTTATTCAAGACATTTTAGCAGGGAACTTCC